CTATCTGTGTTTCGCTACGGTATAGAAAGTTCTCGCTCGTGTAGTTCTCCGGTTTCTCTCGCGATATCCAGGAAATTCTATGATTTTCTCGTGCGTGTTCCGGACGTGTAGTGCTGTGACCTAGTGAAGTGCCCACCCGAGTGTCCTCTGGATACGGTTCTCCGCCTTCTCGGATTAGCTGCTCCAGCTTCGGTGAGTACTCCCAATTTATTAATTATATAGGAACAATGTCAAAAGTCAAAGATAGGGCCACGTACAAGGAATCCCCGTTCTTGGATTCTGAAAATACGCGAAATTTCACCTTCGGCGGGCTGTATCTTTAATTATATAGGAACAATGTCAAAAGTCAAAGATAGGGCCACGTACAAGGAATCCCCGTTCTTGGATTCTGAAAATACGCGAAACTTCACCTTCGGCGGGATGTATCTCGCAAACACAATTTATATTTATTGAAAACACCATGAGAATCAGTAATAATTATTGCATTGTAGTTCTATCCTATCCTAACCTATCTTAACCTATGCTAACCTAGTAAAGCCATATACAAGCGCAGCGCAGTATTGGCCTGTGTGTATTCATAGAATAGAATAGAGATAGGGCCACGCAGAACTGTTGTTAAAACCTGTCAGGAACTATAGAACTCCTCGACAACTTTTGAAAAAGCCTATTGTTGAAACATTATTTTCGGCTTTTTAAATAGTTCTCAAGGAGTTCTATAGTTCCTGATAGGTTTTAACAATCGTTCTGCTACGCAACATCGTTAAAATATGCATTAAATATGCTGGTGGCATCATACGCTTCAGTGCAGGCAGGCATGAGTTGCTTGCTTTTGTCATATTAAACTTACCGAGCTTACACTGTGCGATCGAATTTAGGATTGCAAAGAAAAAAAGTATTTTCTTCAAGAACGCCTCGGCTTCGCCTCGGGAACCTCAACCTTTTGATGACTTTCTGTCTGTTAATCTAAAGTGTTTGGCAGAAACATAGTTATGACTCATAATCGGACAGGAGAAGGACGACACGCATTTGATAACTTTCTTTATATAATAAAAACAATTGAAACTAATAACTGTTAATGTTCTTGACTTATTTAATTAATACAAGAATATATTTCTTCTATTTGTATTTTCAGTTTTTACATTTCCTTTCTTTGAATTCATTAATAATTATTTCGTCTCTGAAAAACTAAAATATTTATGTAACTTGGAAATTGAACTTGTTAGCTTATAGTAACTTAAACTTTTTTTTTGTTAATATCACACTTGCATTTCCAGGTTTAAAGCAATTCCTTTTAGGTAATCCTCTAAAGTGTAGGAACAATACCCTGACACAATTCTTTTAATATTCGCGCAAACATCTAATGTTTTTTTATTCGTAGCTGTTTTCTGACCCCCCATTAACTGGCTGAATTTAATTGATGAAAGATTTTCTCCCTTTTTAAAAGCATCAATGAATTTCCATATATTTGCATGAACCGCTGAACTTCAAGAACGCCTCGGCTTCGCCTCGGGAACCTCAACTTTATACGCGGTGCAGAAACGCTCTCGGTGCACAATATACTACAGGCTATATCCGATGAGCTGTCTCGTTCTGTGTTGCTTTGTGAACCAGCGATAAGTAGCGAAGGACTCTGCCCGGCAAACTACACGTTCGTAATCGGGTTTAGCTCGGCTACGCCGGGATCCGCTTCATCGACGGAGGCTATGATCACATAACTCTACTTCCGGACTCACTGCTGAGATTCACCGCCATTTTTTTGGTATCGCCTAGAACCGTAGCGTTGTGGATCTCCCTACTCATCTCTGGCTAAATTTTACAAAGCTGCCTCTCTTACTGTTATCTTTTTAGTGGCAGCAGTTACTAGCTAACTGTAGCTAACTGTAAGACGTGGTTGACATTCGTTTCACATTGTACTGCATTGTACCTAATTCAACCTGATTGCATCCCATTGCAGAACTGTGTGTTAATATACAAATGATTTTTGTAATTTTTCTATCATATACGTAATATGTGTCACGCAATAAGCTACCTCTGTTTGATTTGATAGCCTTGCGGACAATGCGTGACGTGCGATAAACGTACCCTTCGCTTTCTTTCTTCGATTATTTCCAAGGTACTGCGTAACTATTTTATATTACATGTTCTTCGTGTACTATCCAGTAATAATATAATCGCTGAAAGTGCATTCGTGAACGTTTAAACTGACACTCGATGTTTATTTTAGAACTCATCATCAACAAAATTCACCAAAATGAGAAGTCGTAGCAATTCGGGTGTTCGTTTAGATTATTACCAGCGAGTTGTCCATAAGATAATAATGGACCACCAAAATCCTGTTACTGGACTTTTTCCTGCAAGTCGGGACAATAATCATGCATGGGTCCGTGACAACATTTATTGTATCCTGGCAGTTTGGGGACTTTCGATGGCATATAAAAAAATAGCCGATGCAGATGAAGATCGTGCCAAGACCTATGAGTTGGAACAGAGTTGTGTCAAATTGATGAGAGGCTTATTAATGGCTATGATGCAGCAGAAGGATAAAGTAGAGAAGTTCAAGTCAACTCAAAATCCACTTGATGCGCTACATGCTAAGTATAGCTCCGCCAATGGACAGACTGTAGTAGGGGACACTGAATGGGGACATCTTCAGATAGATGCTATTTCTTTATATCTACTAGTTTTAGCTCAAATGACAGCTTCTGGGCTTCAGATTGTCTTTAATTTAGACGAGGCAAGCTTCAAATTCCATTTGATTAAATCAAATTTTATTTCTTAGTCTTAATATTCATTCGGAATTTCTAGGTGGCATTCATTCAGAATTTGGTGTTTTACATTGAATCTGCATACTGTACTCCAGATTATGGGATATGGGAAAGGGGCGACAAAACAAATCATGGTCTGCCGGAATTGAATGCAAGTAGTATTGGAATGGCAAAGGCAGCCATGGAGGCAATGAATGAGCTCGATTTATTTGGTGCCAGAGGAGGTCCAACATCAGTAATACATGTTTTGGCAGATGAGGCGCAAAAGTGTCAAGCTGTGTTACAGTCAATGTTACCAAGAGAGTCCAATTCTAAAGAACTAGATAGTGGCCTCCTGTCCATTATAAGTTTTCCAGCATTCGCCGTAGACGAGCCCAATTTAATTCAATTGACGAGGGAGGCTATAATAAAGAAACTACAAGGTCGATACGGCTTTAAAAGATTTCTACGAGATGGATACAGAACGCCGAAAGAGGATCCTAATAGGTAGATAGAAATCAGAACGGGGCGGGGGAGGTGGCACAGGAGCAACAATAGTACCCTTGATACACTTTTCAGACTTTATTACGAACCGTGGGAGTTGCGCATGTTCGAAAATATCGAATGCGAATGGCCTCTCTTTTTCTGCTATTTGATACTCGATTACTGCTTTCAAGGGAACAAGGAAGCAGTGACCGAGTATACGAAACATCTAGAGGATATAATGATAAGAACGGACGACGGGATAAAATTAGTTCCTGAACTGTATGCAGTATCGTGCGAAAACGTTCCAGCAGAATATGCTGAACCTGGCAGCCAGGAGAGAGAGGTTCTAGGTAGATGCCCGTTTATGTGGGCCCAATCCCTTTACATTCTTGGAAAATTACTACAAGAAGTATGCCGCTTTGACGCTTCAGCCAGAAGTCCTCACTCGACGTAATGTCTTGCCTTTGAATTTCAGGGATTTCTAGCTGTTGGAGAACTTGATCCATTAAATCGTCGTCTATGTAGCGAAAAAAAACCGGATGTTGTGGTGCAGGTCGTAATTCTTGCGGAGGATGCTGAAATTCGTGAGAAGATAGCCCAGCACGACATTCACGTGCAAACAATAGCGGAAGTTGCGCCTATAGAAGTTCAACCTGCGAAAGTGCTAAGCCACTTGTACACATATTTGGGTACTGATCGCAACAAAAGGGAAAAGTATTCAGTAATGTCGAAACGAGTCTTCACTTTTAGGCCGAAACAAAAAGCTGGGACTGTCTGGCAGAAAATCGAGAGACGTAGGAATATTAAGCACCAGCAAACTGTACTCCTTGCACGATAAGATATTTGCATTCACACCACAGGTAAAATTTCTGCAGTTCACTTAGACATTAGAATTTTTTTTATTTTTACTGTCATATAATTGTTCTGTTCTCTTACATTTTCCATTTCTTACGGTCACGCCTTATTCTTGTGGGGAACGTTAGTTGACAGACATGACTCGTTTCTACATCGCATCGGACTATGAGCTCATGATTGACATATTCAAAGGGGAAATTAATTTCTTGAAGTCTAGCTGGCAGAACATGTTAGGCCGCCCGCTCGTCGTAATGCCACTCAAGAACATTCACCTAGGTACTGTAATTCATTGTTTTCAAAAGATTCGATATTATCCTCGTTCTCCCTGGCGCGGGTCGCTCTCTGTGCTATTTATCAGAAGCAACGTGTAACTGGGCTGAGATTATTCGCTTTCTCGACTGTGGCTGTAGGCTGTACTTTTTCAACATGCCGTTAAAAATTCCACTGGTCAATTGATTTCTAACTTCTAACAAGCTTGCGCGAGTGTTTGCCTTTGTCCCTGTTATTACTTGATTCGCAAGTGGCCTCCTACAAGTCCACTTGCCACCGTCTTCTGGCAGAAGTCTTGGCGTTTCACCCCTTACTAACCGAATGACATTCAACTTGGAGTTCAAATTATTAAGACGCGGAAAACAAATAGACGAAGCGGTCATACTTATTGGTTAATTCGTCGAGGGAGTCTAAGGCAGTCGGTTTACGTGTTTCGTAGTGTGTGCGTATGTTGCATGTGTTAGACCTTTGACGCGGAGGAGTACTATACAACGAATGATGCGGCCCTCCTGGCCGACACCTTCACCACAAATTTGGCCTTCCTCACAATCAACTGGAAACAAATGCTCGGCAGGCCAACTATAACGATCGTTGCCACGCACAGTCGTCTAGGTATGCTGTCGGCCAAAAGAAAACTAGCTCCGAGTGTAAAATACTCTTTTAGATGGTACTAGTCCACAATGTCGCGGTCCTCTTGCACGCTTTTGTTGAAACTTCTTTCTAGTGTCAAAGTAACTGTCAGCCAGTCCTTATCTTTTACTTTTACAGTCCATTACTCGCAAGAATTCCCGCTAATGTCATTTTGCAGATCAAGGAAAGATACCGTTGGCCATGATAACAACTATGAAGAAACTGAAGAGCGGCTACATAAATGGGACCAGAGTCTCTCTGGGAAATCTTAGTGAATTTTTGAGCACCTCTTGTATTACAAATCTTAGTTTTCTCGGTAGTTCGGAAGACGGTCGTCCGGACAAGCTCAATCCTCAGGTGGGAACGTCGAACAGCACATTAGACTCGTTAGATCGTTCCATGGGCGGACGGAGCATCAGAAGAATAAGAAATATTTGTTGAAGGTCCATCAATACCTAGAGGAACATCTTGTCCGCGCGTTTCCTCATCGCACTGGACTTCTCAATCGACCGGTCGTCAGAAGCGGCGGTAACCTTAGACGCAAAATGTCGGTCAAAGGAGCAATTAAGAAGACAAGGTCGATCGCGGTAGAACGTAAGTAAGAAATAAGCCAAGAAATATTCTGGCCTTTCACGGAAAATCTCTTTAATCCTCTAACAATGTGCTTCCATGACGAGTAAAGGAGAACATAACGCGTTTTACCTAATACGTCTTCACAGTCGCGGTTCCCACCATCCTCCAAGAACGTAAGTCTACTAACAGCTGGAAACTAACTAAACCAACCAAACTGTCTTCTCATCTCGTAACTTTCTCGCTGATTACAAACTGATTAGTCAATTTATTTTTTAACTGATTGATCTGCTAACAACAGTTTCCTCGATTTTAGCGGAAATTCTTGGAATGGCTGGGGAGGATCGCAGGCTCTCTGCCATTTATAATACGAATCCGTTTATCGAAGTGACAGACACGTCTCTCCCTACGACCACAGCTACGCCGAATCAACCTGACCGAACACCATCGCCTACGGAGGATCTCCTACCGTGGAAACATTCACCGAAGCCGCATAGACACAGGCTGGCTTCGGAAACACAGTATGCCGATACCGAAGTCGAGGAGCTGCTCGCAATGTTACGTGAAACCGAGAGCCTTGAGGAACAGGGAGACATTCTTCAGTATCTCGTAGATTCTCAGGGACTGTATTTCAATACCGGTATGCTCGAGGAGGGTCGTCCCGTCACCGTCAAGGATTTACTCAAAGGACTCTACGAGAAAGCTTGCCAACAAAAAATGTGGGGTATCGTGCGACACACTGCAGGCATGCTGGGCAAACGAGTCGAAGATCTCGCCAAGGCTGTCACCGATCTGCTTGTCCGTCAGAAGCAGGTAACTGTTGGGATGCCCCCTACAAATGAGCACACAATAGTAGCGCCACTTCCGGAAAACGAATTACGATCCTTGATTCACCAAGCCTATGGGGACGATGAGTCCACCGCGATGCTCACCCAGGAACTACTGGTCTACTTGGCGATGTTTATACGAACAGAGCCGCAGCTCTTCTTGGAGATGTTGCGTCTCAGAGTGGGTCTAATTATTCAAGTAATGGCTACGGAACTCTCGAGAACCCTCATTTGCACCGGAGAGGAAGCTTCGGAACATCTATTAAATTTGTCTCCGTTTGAAATGAAAAATCTCCTTCATCATATCATGAGCGGAAAGGAATTCGCCATCAGCAGCGGTACGTGCCTTACCTTTTACTCCGGTGAATTTATTTACTCGCGAAAGCGTTGCATCGAGCAGCATTTATTATGCCATCGTTTTTCTTGCATGCAGTTGGCCGTGGAAACTTCTCCGTGATCAGTTGCAAATCCAGTAGAGTGAGCAAGGTACTTCTTTTCTTCCGTTTCATCTTTTAAATGCATTTATCTCGGAGACTGAACGGACATTTCTACCTATAGAAATCCCAAATCGGCGGTTTTCTCAGCGCGGATCAAACAGACGGGACTGAAATGGAACCAGACCGACAGGGTCAGTGGCTAAGAAGACGGCGTTTGGACGGCGCCTTGAACAGGGTGCCAAGAGACTTTTATCCCCGAGTTTGGCAAGTTCTCGAGAGGGTACGAAACAACCCATGGATCACAGATAATTATGCAGAAATATTCTTCCTCGTTTAAATATATCCAATATCGTTTGTTTATAGTGTCAGGGATTGGTCATAGAAGGTCGAGTGCTTCCGCAGAATCTGACACAAGAGATGACTTCCGGAGAATTGAAATTCGCTTTGGCCGTTGAGACTGTCCTCAATACGATACCACAACCAGAATATCGTCAATTGGTTGTTGAAGCCTTAATGGTACTTACTCTAGTCACGGAGTACAATGTCGTGCCTTCCCTGGGGGGCCTCATCGCCGTAGAACATTTGGTGCATAAGGCCAATGCCATCTTTCTAGAGGATCAGGTAGAGTGAATAATTCTATTTTCTATTCTTTCTCGAATAGATGCGAGTTCGAGTGTTCCTTACAGATGAAAGTCGATGGGGATGCAACTCTATGTTGCGCCAAGCCCAAGGATCAGCGCGAAACAACTGCTACGGGAAGTCTGCTGTGCGGCGGTGCCGCCTATGTCTGCCAACATTTCTATGACAGTGCCCCGAGTGGCAGTTATGGAACAATGACTTATATTACCAGAGCCATTGCTTCCCTATTGAATTGCTTGCCCAAAGATGGCGATTTGGAATGTTCGATATCGTAGACAATTTTACCTCATAGGCTGTACCCTCATAGGTCTTCTAGATAAACTGCCAATATTTTGCTACAGCAGATTTTGTTTTTCAGAAGTAATATTGAACTTTCATGTCCAAACTATTAATTGCCCCGTAATTTGGTCTAAAGGTCATAATAAATGTCTTATTTGAAATCAACCAAGATAACAAGATATATCAGTAGCCATATTCTTGGTCTTCGTTTTATTCTAACAAAATTACTGATGTACTTTCAAAATCTTTTATTACTCGTATCACTAACAGAAACAGTTCCTTATTTTGCCCTTGGATTCTTGGAGAATGGATTAAGTTTTAATATCCAGGAAGATTGTTGACTGCAAAAACATTTTGGAGAAAAATTTAGTATTAGATTTTATGTGAAGGGAGATAGGTTTACCTTTTTGTAGAAGGCATCACGTCGACATTCTTAGCCTCTTCGATGCCGTAGGCTTTTAACTGACTGATTAATTCAGACCTGTACTGAATTTTTAAAGGCTTTGGTTCATCCAACTTAGCCTGAATCGCCAGATACTTTTTACAGGCTTCCATAAAATTCAGGCCGTACCACTCAATTTCCTCTCGTGTGAACTAAATACAAATAAAAGCTATTGAAGGAACTATGGTATACATTACAAAAACTTATAGCTCTTTAGATATTTCTTGCAAAAAAATATAGAATTGAAACGTTACATACAGGAGATAAGTATTGCTGATATTTTGCATAGACTTCTTCTTGTTTGAGAGGGTCATCCTGGTACATAGTTTTATCAGCCAAAGCTATTAGAATTTGTCTCTTTATTTTTAAGGCCAGCTCGGATTTCAAATCACAGGCAGGTGTCTGTAAAGATGCATACATCAATTAATCATTGATTATTCAAGGAGACAGTCTTTATCTAGAAGCAAAGTAGAGAAAAACTACCTTCAAGAGATAATGGTCGAAACCATAATTATCATGAATAAGTTGTAGGGTTCTATTTGTCAGAGTAACTCTCATGTACTCGTTTAAAATTTCACTATACACAACTGATATTTTGAGCCGAGGTACCCAAAAACGAGGAACCCTTCGATCATAAAGACCACGTTTTTCAAATCCTTGAATAACACCTTCGCCACCCCATATACCATCATTATGTTCTTTAGGATATTTCACTGGTATAGGTACATTTTGTACTGGATACCTAAAAAATTAACAAGTGTGTAATCTATATTGTAAAAACTAAGGATGAAGTATCCAAAGCAAGAACATACACATCTCCAGTTTGCTTATTCCTTTCAAATAAACCGTCTTTCTCGATGTAATGAACAGCAGCGGGTTTTTGAACCTTCCATTCACGCCAGAACTTTTTATATGCATCCGGCAACTCGGCACCTACACCCCTTTGCCAGCGATTTGGTCGTGGAGCGTGGTACAGACTCTATAATTGAAGATCAATTGGCTAAATGTTACTGTTAATATTTTACATGCACTTTATACGTGAGCAGAGGTTATCAAAGGATATCTTCATATTATGAAAAATATGCCATGCGTGTACAAAATAATTTCGGCATTATTACCTTTCCAAGTTTCAGAGCTGACATAACTGAAATAATTAATGACCGCACAAAATGAGGAAATTATAAATGATTGAGAGATAAAAATGGTCGAGTCAAATTAAACACAGCCAAGTAAAACGCATTCTAGTTTATGTGTTAAGAGATCTTTGAACGTTTCAAGGAAAAAAGCCGAATTCCCAGCCGCTTCCGAAATACAGCTTCCCAGAATTCGGATTTCGAGCAATTTTAAAAACTAATAGAATTAACCCTTTTTCGGTAGCAGTGTCAAAAAGTGATAAACTAACCTCATCTAACTTTTTTTTACATTAACCCAAGTTGAGTTAACACAAGTCGACTCAACTTGCATCATTGGTTACTTTCAACCATTTTCCGTTCGAGCCGACCATTAGCCAAGCTCTGTGTCGTGTCTTGTCGATTTAATTTGAGAAAACAGAGTCTCCATAGTTCACACTTTATACTGGTTAGGACCTATCAGAGACATCTTTATTCTAAGGATTCTGTAAGTTTCTTGCATGAGAAGGCGCCTATATTCCCTGTCATCTCCGTTACACCTGATTGGACTGGATTGGTCACTCGAAGCTATTCAGAGCAATTCGTAGCTGTCAAACTGTCAAACTGTATGTTTTGTTTTCGTTTATAACGTGGAGGTTTTCTGAATAAGGATTTACAGAAGTAATTGGAAGGAACCTTGGAAAAATGCATAATGGACTGTGAATATGGGTTGAAGTAAAATCCTTATAACCCTTGAGATACGCATTTCTCGTCGAGATTTTTCAATAAAATCACTTACATATAACGAAGAAGCTCTTCGGGTTGCTAATACAAGCACGGTAACATGAAGATTCATCATTAAAACAGAATGAATGTCATCAAATAGAGATAGACTTTATTGAAGTTGAGTCGAAATTTTGTCAAAGTTTCTTCAGTGTTATGTACATATTACTGCTCAGCTAGGCGGTAATATTCAACATCCAGAATATGCTTATCCTCAAGGTTGGCTGTACAATGAGTATCCTTATAGCACTGTTGCATTGGTATGACATGGCATGGTGCTCAATCTATGGATCTATCACAATTTGGTGCTGTTTATTAGGCCCTTTATTAGTTATTTTGATCCATATAGCCTTATCTCCACGGCATCAAACAGGATTGGGCATTGGCAAGACCGTGGCTGAAATGGATGCTTTCCGAAATATGCTTATGGTACCTCATATTCATGAAATAATGTAAGCAGTCTAATTTTCTACAGTAATATGAAGTATATCGTATTACAGAAGGGATATGAACCAAAGCTCTCTGCTAACCTAAAGCAGATTCGTTATCCTGTAGTCTTTACCAGACTCGTGGATGGAGCTTTGCAGAACCTCTTGGATTTGGCCTTTAGAGATTTTGTGGGTTCTTGGTTGCGTGAGCTAGCACTTGGATCGGACTCAATAACAGATTGCATGAAGCAAGATGTTTGGGGAGCCATCCAAAGCTTCCATGATCGTTTATTTCGAGTGGATCACACAAAACTTGTTGCATGTAGCATCGTTAACAAAGTTACATTTCATTTCGAGAAAATTAGAATTGCTCAAGCTGCTGCGTAAGTTGCATAAGAGTGAACATCATGTTTAAGAATTATAGAACTGCCAAGCAATATTTACTATTACAGGTCAGAGGGTGAGGATCCAATATTTATTTTATCAGCCCATCTGATGTCACATACCGCGGAATTGGAATACCTGAGAAAAGTGAGCGAGGTGTGCATTATGTTTTTTCTGCCTCGCAGCTATTCTCTTTCTCCAGCAAAATTTCTTTTAAGAGAAGTAATAACATATAAAAGTAGGTAAACAATCGGAAATGCACTTATTCTCATTTCACTTAGCATCTCATTGAGTCCTAATTGCAGTATTAAAGCCGGCGATAGACATGATAACGGACCCCGACTACATCAACCAAAAGATCCTAATGTACATTGAGCAGCAACAGATGGCTGAGGCGATGCACAGGAAAACATATGAATACGCTGAGTCCTTCGAGGATTTTATACGTATGATAAAAAGCTCAAAGGACCTAGAGGTTCTCAAACATATAAGATACAACATAGTCACGGAAATAATGCAAGCGACTACTGTTCAGAACGTCAAGAGAGCACAGGGTTTGGATGCCGAGAATAATACTTTTGGAAAGTCGGACGCTGTGCAAGCGAGAAAGCTCAAAAGATACATAAGCCAATTGACCTACGCAAAGAACACTTGCGAGTGTCACATGCAGAGTCTTGGTTGGGACGGATATCCCATACAAGAGAGCGACATCTCTAATCCAACGGCGATCGCTGAAGGGAGAGTGCTCCCGCTCCAGACAATCCTTGACAATGTCATCGGCCGCAGATACCTTTCTCAATTTCTCGAACAGGTTGCCAGCCAAGGACTGATCGGTTATTGGGCGGCCGTTCAGGAACTTCGAGCCGCTGAGAGGTCCAACTGGCATCAGCTGGGTGCTGAGATATTCTATACGTATATCAGATCGCCCACGGCCGAGATTAAGGTCGACAAGAATGTGCGCAAGAGAATGGAAAGTTTCCTACTGGGCGATAAAGGACCCGATGTCTTTTACGAGGTTCAAGAGAATGTCGTAAAAACACTCGAAGAAAAGTACTATCCGTCTTTTTTGGTGAGCGAGCAGTATAAGAAGATGCAGGAGGCTCTGCTGAACGAGAGAGCGGATGGTACGTTTATAATCTATTTCAATTTACTTCACTCTCGTATTTTCATATAACTTTTTACTTTCCATTCTCCTTCCCATCTCTGAGTTCAATTGCTTTTGGAATACATTGATCTCGGCTGTCTTGCAACTTTGGTTTACCTTATTTCTTCCTTAATACTCAGGATTGATGGAAGATCGGCAGATGGTCGACGGAACAATATCCGATTCATCCTCGTTACTGGTCGGTGAACATTCCAACTACGCGCGCAGTAAGCTGGATCAGCTTCAAGAGAAGCTTAACAATAAGATGCAAGCTCTTCAAGCGCTACGGTCCTCCCTTAAGCCGGAGAGTCGTGTCCTCAGCATCCTCGCCAAGGAAGTCGAATGGCTCCAGGGCGAAAGACGGCAGTTGGAGGCTCATTTGACTCACACGGAAATGTGGGCTGAACATTTGGGACACTGGCGCGCTGATGTGCAAAGCGCTGAGACGCCTGAGAATGGGGAACCACCGCAGTTTGTACTCGTGGTGCACATGGCGGAGGACGAGGCCAACGAGGAGAGTATATCCACGGGATGGGTGGTTTTGAGAAAGCTTCCAGAATTTCAGGAACTTCATAGGAAATTACGGCAACTCTGTGCGAATGTAAAAACTCTCGAGCTGCCGTCGCAACCACTTAAATTTTTCGGTAAATCCGACAAAAATACTCTCGACAAAGCCCGAATGCAGATTCAAAAATATTTAACCGTGAGTGTCAAATCACTAACGTCAAAGAGAAAATAAATTTGTTGGAGTTTCTGCTTTCGAATAGTACATCTTCTTTGCAGTTCGTCCTCGAAGATGAACGATTGAATCAGAGTGAAGCGCTCTATGCATTCCTCAGCCCCAGCTCGGAACATTTAAAACACACGGCACCTTCGCCGAAGAAATCACGTTTCTCATTATCGACACTCTTCAAATCGTAAAGCTTTTTTTCACTATAACTAAATCCTGTCACTACAACATTGCTTCTGGGTCTTAATTTTGATTTAACGAGTGTCTGATTGTTCAGGGGATCCAGTGGCAGTGGAGAATCTCGTGAAAAGGAAGAAGAGGAGGATTATTCGCTTCTTCTCGACGACGGAGAATCCGGAAGAACGTCAACAGACGGTTGCTTTGGTTCAGGAAAGGATGCGATTGCAGAACCACTTTACGCTCTCCTAGGGGAAGTTTTTGATCTGCGAGGAGTTTTTCGGTGGCTTAGAAAATCGCTCATAACCTTCGTTCAAATTACCTACGGTCGCACAATTAACAGGTGTGACCAAACGTTCATGAATCGAAAACTACAAAGATTTTATTTTTCGTTGGTTTTGTTTAACAGACAAGTCAGAGACACCGTTACTTGGGTATTCTCTGAGCCGATGCTACATTACTATATCCAATTGTTTACAAAGTCTTGGTGGCCCAACGGGCAGCTTGCCTCGGAGGCTCAGATGCGCACCGATGAAGAGAAGTTGAAAACACGAGGTGAAGCACGCAGGCAATTCTTGACTAACGTACCTGAAGTCCTAACGAATCTTGTCGGAGCACAGAGCGCTCAGCGCGGTGCCACCAAAGTCTTTGATACACTGCAAAACGTAAACCTCAACAAGCAACTTTTTTATGTAAGTTGTAAAGATGAACAGGATTGCAGAACAGGGAGAAACTGGAAAACTTCTTTCGTCTCTTTCAGGACATCTTTGAAGTGTTGATGTACGAAGTCTTTCCAGAGTTGCATCACAAATAGAAGGATGACTAAGAACGAAATAAAGGTCTGATGCGAATGAATAAGATATTGACGTTGGAATGAATTGTCTCACTGAAAAATCTACGTGATCTTTAGAAGAGGCTAAAATGAAGCAGGCCAGGCATGCGAATTTGGGCCATTCGAAATTTGGCTATTGTACATTTGCTGAAATCGCTTAAACTGTCATTCGCAGTACGTATTTTAATGAATCGTCTAACATGAAAAATAAGTAAATGACTTGTTGGTAGACAATGCTGACTATATCGTAATTGAAATCTGTATTAAGCACAAACAATTATTGTCCCATGGGACATAGATAATAGATGAAGATAACAAATAAACAGCAAAGAAACCGAGGAAGAATAATCATGATTATGTAATTTTGTAGTATAATTGTATAGTGGGATAATAAGTTTGCGTGTCACTCTAGTGAATTTAAAGAGTCAATTTCAAGAAACACAAGGTCATAAGATACAGAATATTTTATTTCTACGTCATGCGAGGCGACATGACGTACAAATATTTTAAACAATCTTTTAAAATTAATTGCAACTCCTATACAAATAGTACAATATATCACCCCTTATAAACTATTGCGATATAATTCATACAATAAATTATCTTTATTTACACATTTATATTATAGACTGGCTTTGGCACCAAAAAGTACGATACGAGATCACTTAAAAATAATTGGCCTTGTGGGCACAGTTTTACTTCCTTAAAAATCTCTTCTTTATCGCTTTGTTTTTGTCATTATTGGGTTCTCGGGTGACACCAGAAATCAGTTGGATGATGGACGTGATCGTATCATGTTGTATCAGATATTTAATAACAAATTCTTATACCCTAGGGCAAATCGCAGGACGCACACTCAAGATTCACAGTAGTTGTATTATTCGTGGTGGTGGTAGTATTAGTAGTAGTAGAGGATATGGGACATTGTGAGAGGAATCGAAAAATGAACCTGATTTTTCCAATAATTTGTTAGAAGTGTCTAGATATGAGGAAAATAGAGGCTGATAAAGAAAGGCAATCTTAAGTCTCCAAGTGATAATTGACCCACCAACTAATGAATCCCCCCCTCCATAATCCAGTCATTACAGATTTTAGATGAATTAGATGTCTAGTCAATTTACCAAATATATCTAACATGTAACACGTGGACAATTCTCGAGATTATGTCACAATGCTTATTATTCCGTTAATCAATTTTTTTTTTTAAAGATAATGATGCAGTGAGGACTAATTTTCACTATCACGATATTAATAATTAATTGAGATATCTAAGGGTCAGAGCGTCTTGCTTGGTTCACCTGAGCCTTGAACCTCACAAGGTGCACTGTAGGAATGTGTAAATAAATGTGAACTGATGTGAACTGTCAATGGGAGTCTTATAGCAGCGTATCGTGAAAAGAACGTCACGTAGGTTGCACGTAAAAGCACTTATTATCTGTTGGAACAGTCCCCAAGCGAGTGAGATCGGCTCGATGGCAACGGATCTCCTTCTGCTTTGTCTTTGCGCTGCAGTTACAATTTACGATGTTAAATGTCTTTTGGATTTAGTTTCCTGGACTCATTGAACTCAGATTGAAAAGGAATTTCGGATAAACAACCCATAGTGACGACATTATGGGCATCTGTGAGTGTCCTTGTGACTCGCTGCGCTCAAGATAAGTAAATCAAAAGAAATTCACGAGTTTCCAGCTGGAGCTGGGATTTGAGAAGAAGGACGCAAAGTTAGAGGAAGTATTTATAGGTCGACTTGGGACGTACCTCGGCGGCCTAGAGTGTACTGATTTTGGCGTACTTGTCAAAAGATAGTTCAATCGTGAATCTCATCTATATCACATAGAATCTTTGAGCCTAAATATACATAGCATGCATATCGATAATATTCCGAATGACAATAACAGATAAACCATATCCAATTGTTCGCCTCATCGATAATAATATTCATTAGTATGAATTATGAACATTATGATATATCGCATATGTATGGCATATAGTCATCGTAACTAGATGCGCCAAGTGTTCTAAACATACTAAAGGTATCTTGTAGAGACAGATTTCGTGATTAGATTACTATCTATACATATTCTTCATCTTTCATTTTTGTCGCACTTTTACACTTTCTCCTTCCTTGCCTCTTTTTCTCTCGTCATTAATATATTATCATACGTGGTTAAAGCTATTATCTGTCGCTCCTTCGCTATTATATCGCTGCTTGCCTTTTATCGTGAGATAACGCTTTCGGGAATAACGATTCGCGTTGCGAGGGTGCTGAATCGTCCTAGACCTGCTGGGACCCTCTGATACGTACTTTTTCTTTTTATTCTTACATGCAACAACGGCAGATAGCGCCTATGAATAGTCCGTCGTACCACGATGTACCACGACGAGTAATGTCTGTTTTTGAGGAGCCACTCTCTTATGGATTCTAAAGTAAAAGCGCCCTCTAGACCTGACATTTCACTCGTGTACATTATCATGTTGCATGTGCGCGTGCGTTGGCGTACAGACTCGCATTGCCACAGAGGACACACATAAATGAAGCACAGCAGCCGGTGCTGCGCAAACGCGCGCGTTGAGCCAAAAAAATATAGTTTGTAGAAAAAATATAGCTTCGTACAAAAATACGATACGAATCCGCACGCCTACGAATATTCATGCATTCTCGCATCCCATTCTTTTCACATCACAATTTCTTACCCGAGATTCGACCTTCTCAATTCCCTCGTCTATCTCCCTTCGACACTGTTAACTGTTAACTGTTAACTAGGCACGCGCGCGCGCGCACACACACGTGTTCGCTCTTCACTATGACTTGATGACAGTCAGAGTCATATTTTATTCATCATCAGTTGAGTTTACGGTACACTTCACAGGACCTAAAAACGGCTTCATCTATCCATTACTAGAGTAAGTATAGTTTCTACATATACATGACGATGGGAGAGCCTATTTTTGAAATTGTTCACTACCTGATAAAGTAATGCAAAACATGTAATGACGCTGTCCTTTACACGGTTCTTTCTCCCATATACATGTATAATGTTGGGAACGTCAGCACGCGCAAATGTTGACAGGCTCGCCTGGTTTCTATGTACCATGTGCAACCACTCTTCGTTCCTCTTTCTCTCCTCTCTTGCCGTCAGAGACGGTCCTCGCAACGGAATTCATCGTGTATAATGTACATGACACCAATATTTAAAATAAGCTGTGATGGCATTGCGCGTATATCGAGCGATTCACCGAAGCAGCTGCCAAGACGTCTTTCCTTATTCTTATCCAATCATAATATATATATATATATATTATATATATATATATATATTTCAACTGCTGCACTTTCTGAAATTTTCTCTCCCATTAACTCATCCACTCTTCCTCCCGACTGTTCGTTCTCCCATTCGCCCCCGCGTTTCCTCGATTTCCATGCTCGCTCATTCATCCTTCTCTATTTGGGCACATGTAAACACAAAAAGTGAGTAATTGGTATTCCAATTGTTCAGGGACGACAGTAGCCGTTAACGCAAGGGAGCGAAGCTCCTCTTGATACTCGGACACTGGAACTCCAAGATTTGTCGGTATCTAGTGGTATCTAGTGGTATCTAGTGTTCAGCCGTTCGATGATCCGTGTGTCTCGCCGCCAGCTAGTAGCCGTGCATGCACGTCTTCGCGTGAGTTCTACCTTCTACCGGTATAATTGGAGGTAGATCCATGTCGCGTTTAAGAAGCGATCTTAATCACTGAGCTGTGAATGACGGCTGGCGAGGACTCCCTCGGGGTGACCGATGTGGCCCGACTGCTGCTCGGGGTCGCTGAAGGGGGTATCAGTGAAACGATCTCAGGGCTCGAACTCTGCCCATTATCTTCGTACACTCTCTCCTATAAGACAATGAATTATTGATCTTGAACTTTGTGCAAGCGTGTGTCTCACGTATCCGTTTGTCCCTCTGTTTCTCTGTCGGGAACACTGCGCGCATAAGCTACCACCAACGCATCCACTTCGAGTAGTTTCAATTTCGAATGCCAAATGCTCAAATGCTCATAGACAACAATGTCGAATTGAATATCTGTCCAATCTGTCAGCTCGCGTGCAAATCACTCACTCCTTCCCACTTTCGCGCTCCTGATTAATTTTCATATTTCGTCAGGCGTGCATCCTTCCTCCTCTCTTTCGTGCGCGTTCGATACACGTAATAAGAATCCGGGAATTGCCGATGAAACGAGAAACGATGGGTACTAATAATAATAACTGGTGAAGGAAAGTATTTTACATAATGATGCGGGATGCTTTTGCATTGCTTCCACCCTGTCCCTTCCCTTCCCTTTCCCTTCTTTTTAGAATATTGTCATAGTCATAGAATTAGAATCCAAGCTCGGCCACGATCTCTATTAAATGAACGCATCCGGAACGTCTCGGCGATTATCGCGATCATTCTAATTAGGTATCGCGATCGACGTATCATCGTAGTCCGGATGCCCAAGGCATTAGGTAGTTTCGATTTCATTCATCTGTATGAAATGAAGCGGTAGGTGTTGCAGTTTGATCGGACATTCAACCTTGGATGCGTTGGCTGCTCTCTAATTGATTATCGCGTATCAGGTTGGAACGAGCAATCAATAATTCAATGTTTTTGGGGAAAAGAGAAGCAGTAGAAGATTTAGTGACGAGTGCACAGAAGGCCAACGGAGATGAGAAGCGTAAAAGAAAAAGGAGCATTGAATCACTAGAAAATGCGAAAACACCACTGAATGTACATATAAATACCTGAGACTTGTCGTATTTTAGCCGTTTCCAGATGAAAGATTTCTTGTCCTGCGGTGCATTGCAGGGGCCGACGTCACCGCTCGATGCGTTGTAATTTGGGTTCGAGAAAGTTAAGACGTTGCGTCGTCCGGCATACAAGTACTGCTTTTGTTTCCTCTTTCTCTGACAGAGAAGATAGATTATCCCGCCGACGATGGCCAGAGTGATCGTCACCAGAACCATGCATGTTATCACCACTGTCTTCAGACTGTACGATGCGTCGGTATTGAATTTGTTTAAAACTGTATTCCAATCGTTGAACTTGTTATCGTTAAAGCGATTGGTAGGAAGCGTCGTAAGTTCCGAAATTCTTGTCTCCTCGTCGTCGTAATTTGGATCGTTTTCAGTTCCAGGTTTGCGAAGCGGGACTTCCTTGCTGGCCACTGCAATATCGAAGTTCAACCATTTTTCTTACTATTATCAGCGCGTTGCACGGTGTTCCTGATGTCCTTACCTGTGCTACAGGCAAGATCCGGTTCGTCTGGGCAGGCACACTTGTAACTCTGACGTCTATAGAGACAAAGGTGAGTGCAACCACCATTATCAATTGCGCAGGGTGTCCAACCAATTTGTCTTCTTGGAGAGACTGCCTTTATTTCTGTGGTACTCCCGAGAGACGTGCGAATTCGGATTCTGTTTTTACCAGTAGCTTTGTCAGCCTTTTCGACTACTTGCTTAAGCCAGTCCGTCCAATATATGTGATTCTCGTACTAAAAAATGGTTGAATTGTTACAATGAAAAATGCGTTAATAATCGTGCACATCAGCCAGCTAGAGGCCCGTCTATAAGTATTAGCGAGTACCTGGGCCAGACCAAAGGGATAAATTGCTTCAGGAACAATCTGGATCCTAAAGTGCCCGTGGAGATCGGATACTTCAATCTTATCTTTGAGCGCATCAGCCCAGTATAATTTCTTATTTTGATAATCAATGGCCAATCCGTTTGGATATGACAGATCGGTGGATACGATCGTTTTCCTCTGGGATCCATCTAATGCGGCGCGTTCGATTTTCGCGTGCTGATCTTGCCACTCTGACCAATACATATAACCTTCCTTAGGGAAAAGAGCCAATGCTCTAGGTTCGACACCCTCGATTATGCGTTTACGGGAGGATCCATTGAGTCTCGCTACCGAGATGATCTTGTGTTTTGGATCAGTCCAATAAATATTATTGGCCAGCCAGTCAACAGCCAATCTAAACGGCGCTGAGAAATTTGAAGCTTCAACGATAACCCTAATATCCGAAAGATTGCGCATACTAACGCTCCTGTTAGGATAAATAAATAAAAATATTACAAGTTCTACTTAATACGATGATTTTGAAGAATAATACGACTAGAAATCATTCACGTTGTTTCAAATTCACACTTTAGATTAAAGTTCTGTAGAGTGCACTTGCCTGATTTCACGCAGATTCACATCGATGTAAAATATTAATTGTTTGGCAAAGTGAAAATCTATGGAGATGATATTGTGATATTGATCGAGAGGCACAGCCACTTCCCACATCTCCGGGGTGTCGAATGAAATTCTTGCTAACGACCTACGCGTTGAGAATAATAAGAAATTCGTAGGCGTACTGTTGCAGCTCTTCTTGTCCTCGTTTATCAATATTCCTGTGGGACAGGCGCAGGAATATCCCTTGGGATTGCGAAGACACAGATGAGAACATCCACCGTTGTTCTTCTCGCAGGCATTTTTGGACGTGTGCATATCGAACGACTGACATAAATAAGCAACGGAAAGAAAGTACCATTATAAATCTAATTAATCTTGTAAATTAGACTCTCGATCGCTGCTACTTACGCTACTCACTGCACGAATGTCCATAAGTCCTTCGAGCTTATCAACAATTACGTCCCTGCCGCTCCCAGACGCCTTATTCGCCCGTAGAATGGCCTTGGCGTGCCAATCGCTCCAATAAATATTCTCACCCATTATGGCCAGCCCGTACGGGTGGTCAACGTTTCTAAGAAGCGTCTTTCTCTTATCTCCATTGAGATCCGAATATTCAATGACTTTAAGCTTCGCGTCATTCCAATAGAGTTTATTCTCAGTCAAATCAACGCAGATCCCGTTAGGCCATACCAGATTGTCAGCGATCACTGTCGTGCGTTCCCCGCCGTCCATATTGGCGCGTTCGATTCGAGCGTTGTGGCCCCAGTCAGACCAGAACATCAGCCCTGCAGGATAATGCAGGGCGATGGCTCGAGGATTGTCCAGACCGGACCAGATCAGAACCTTTCGATTAGTACCGTCGAGTTCAGACACCTCGATGCTATTCAAGCCCGCGTCCGTCCAGTATAGCTAAATAAAGTGTTTAGTCATTCAACTGACTCGAAGAAGCACCAAGTGCTACAGCGTGAGATAAAGATCATTAAACCTTACGAACCTTCCTTCCGATGGAATCGACAGTTAGACTGTCTGCTGTGTCAATTCCATGGTCAATTACGGTTTCCACGCTTTTCCCATTGAAGCTTGCTCGCTTGATGACATCCTCGGCAGTGTCGGTCCAATACACGTCGCCCGTTCTTCGATTGATGTCTACGCCACTGGCATTGGTCAAATGCGAAATTGGTAGGACCACGTCAACCGAGTAATTCACGTCGAATGATATTATTCTTATATCGACACGATGCGCCACCAGGAGATAGGCATTCGGCATATCGGGGCAGGTTTTTCCGTCGTTCTGAAACATGGTACGACTTTAAAATTATGCACCGTCCCCAGTAAAGCGGATAGGCTACGATTGCGACGATCGTACAGCGAGAAGGAGACCAGTGGGACAGGCGCATTTGAAATAGTACGGTGCAGGTGCCAGTAGACACATGTGAGAACAATTTCCATTATTAAGATTGCAAGGACTAGTGACGGACTGCCGATTTCTGTGAAAAACGCGAACGTCCATTAGTCCAGAAATATCAGAGCGAACGACCGTCCGGTTTTGTCCCGTGTCTTTGTCGGCCTGATGGATACTCAGGGTATTCCAGTCGGTCCAATAGATTTTACTTTCATGAATAACAAGGCCAAAGGGATGGGGAAGATTCTCATCTGAAAAGCATATTTTACTTATATTTGAATGTCGAGCGACATTGTAACAAGACTGCTCTTATTGGTTCTGGGTGACTCACGGATGAGGACGGTTCTATCTCGGCCGTTTAAATCGGAGTATTCAATTTTCTTCATGCCGCCATCGGCCCAATACAGGCGTTTCTTTGCAAAGTCTATTGCCAACCCGTTTGGCCACATTAAATCGACTCCAATGAGGACTTTTCTTTGAGAACCATCCATTGCGGCCCTTTCGATTTTCGCTCTTTCACCCCAGTCGCTCCAATACATAAATCCAGCTATACGAAGATGCAGGTAAGTTCAATAGACAATTGATGAGGACATGGCTTTTCAAAAACAATTAACTACGGTTACCTGTAGGATCGACGACAATGTCTCTCGGTTTTTCAAGACCCCTGAAGACTAACAGAGTCCTCATTGTGCCGTCGAGATTCGAGCACTCGATTCTATTGGTTCCGGCATCCGTCCAATAGAGTTTCTTGGTGACCCAATCCATTGCGAGACCGGCCGGAGATTCTTCGTTGCAAAATTTATAAAAACATTTACTGAAACTCCGGAACGAATTCAATCTTGAATCTGGTGGATGATTCTACTCACCCAAATTGTGTCCGATAATCACCCTCTGATTAGTTCCATTTAAATGTGCTCTGCTAATTGTGTCAGTCTCGACATCGGTCCAGTAAATGGTGTTATCCTGCGCGTCCCAGGTAAGTGCGACTGCGCTTTGAATATGATCGACGGGAATAACTGCGTCGAACGCGCTGGTCGACTGATCGATCGGCCTGAGTCGAAGATCTTTTTTCCTCGCGAAAATTAGAAGGTTGTCTGGCGTTGCAGCGCAGCTCTTGCCGTCCTGCTTAATTTTTAATCCCACGGGACAGACGCAACTGTAGCCCTTATTGTTCGGTAAGCACATGTGTGAACAATTTCCATTGTTCTTTCCGCAATGATTCGGATAATCTGGCTGCCGTTGCGGATGATAGCTGTGAACGTCCATTGGAAAGTGAAGTCCTGCAAAAAAGCACACGAATAAAAAAAACAGAAAAAATAACAAAGCCTTTTCACTATTTTTTATTCTATAATCGATTGAACGACTGTCTTGAGTATCCGCCCAGTTTACCGGATTGAATTATCTTGTAGCCCATTCCGTTTCCTTTATTGGCCGAGGAGATGCTCTTGAAATGCCAGTCGGTCCAATAAATTGAGTCCTCGAAGACGGTGATGGCAAATGGATGATGCAACCCCCTGCTAATAACTTTCTTACGATCCTTCCCGTCGAGATGAGCCGACTCTATGATGCGATGCTTCGCGTCGGCCCAGAAAATGCGATTCGCCGTATAGTCGATTGTCAGACCATTCGGCCAGTATACAGAATCAGTGATAAGTGCAACCCGGCCGGAACCATCCATGTCTGCTCGTTCGATTTTTGGATTGGGCCCTAAACATCCAATAGTAAGGGAACAGGGAATATCAGACGAGGGCATTTTTTCTCGTTGAACATTGAAAAGACCTTTCGTACCCCAATCTGTCCAATAAACGTATCCATAATTGGGATGCACCGCAATGGCTCGAGGCTTATCCAGATCGCTGGAGACGATCACGTGTCTCATCCTTGAATCCAGAGTAATAACTTCGACCCTCCTCGTGCCAGAATCCGTCCAAAAGAGTAGATCATGAATCCAGTCGATAGCTACGCCACCAGGACTCTCCAATCCCCAGCGAACAACGTCTAGAAAGAGTAGTAAATATCAGAAGGGTTATATAATTCCCTCGATGAGTAGAGCTAAGCTTGCAATTAAACAATTCGGACCTTCGGGATCGGATCCATTTACATAGACTTTACGAATAACGTCCAAAGACACGTCCGACCAGTATATCGTTCCGCGCTTGTAATGATAATCCAACGCGATCGCATTGTGAAGTCCTTTCCTAATCGAGGTGTGCTTCGAATTACTGAGGCTAACCTGAAAACTCATAAAATTCAATTTCCATGCTGATTCTTCCTTACGAAGGAATCCCATAATTCTTTGATCGTTCGGATCCTTGAGAACTCTACTTGTGCAGACCTGTCTAATGTCGACTCTATTGGCAAACAGAAGTGTGGGATTGGCTCCAAGAGCCTTACACGTCCTGAGGTCCGGTCGCAGCACATATCCTTTCATGCAGCCACATGTGAACGAGCCAGGAGTATTGTTGCACACTTGACTGCACACTGGATCCTGAAAAATAGTATTTTTTGTTTTTCTTTGTCAAAGTATCAGCTCCTCTGGATATGTGATAAGCGACATTCTGTAATTTCAAACATACTCTCTCGAATTCGCACTCGTTAATGTCTTGACAGGTCGCGTTGTCCTTTCCGAGCGTATATCCAGGCTCACATGCGCATCCATTTCGATTGTCTGCAGTGAGGATGCACTGTTGCGTGCACCTGTCATCCGAAGCGCACTTTCGTTTTTTCGGACAGTTCAGCTCGTCTGTAATAAAGAATTTTTTGGGGTAGGTAATTCTACTAACTCCTTTTGGTGCTGCTCGGCCCGAGTCACATATATTGAATGAAACTAACCGTCTTGCTCCGGACAATCTGGCACACCATCGCACACGCGTTTTGTGCTAATGCAATACCGATGATAATGATGATGCGTTACAGCGTGGGACAGACTCGACGTTATGGAATCATTTCCAACGGACGGTGGTTTACAAAGATATTGAGTAATTTCGCAAGTGACGGCGCAGCCTTGCTCGTCCTCACCGTCCGAACAATCCGGAACTCCGTCGCAGACCCAAATACGCTAAGATATAATCGAGTAATAAGATTAAAGAGTCAAGAAATTTGAAATATCAATGTGTAACATATTCGAGAAAAGCTCTCTGAAAACCCACCGGGACGCAAGTGCCGGTGGAACAAGTAAACTCTTCCTGCGGCGAGCAATCTTTCGTTGGGCTCGGGTAGTCGCACATGATCTCGTCGGTTCCACCTCTACAGTCGGTCTCGTTGTCGCACACCCACTTTGCACTTATGCAGTTGCCGTTAGCGCACCTGCGAACTCAATTACGTTAATAGATGTCCGACTAAACGTAATCCCATCTTGGGACTTGCTTCGGAACGCAAGGCTAAAGCCAGGCAAATGACGCACCTAAATTGATTCGCACCGCAACTAGCGCCATTTCTGCTGGGACAGTTGTCCTCGTCGCTCCAGTCACCGCAGTCGTCGTCCCCGTCGCATCTAAATTGGTGCTTTACACATCTTGGATAACCGCATTTGAATTCATCCTCGCTGCATTGAACCTCCGTAACTTCTATATATCGAGGAAAGAAGAACCAATTTACGGTAGTTCGAAATCTTCGAAAAGGCTGGATCAATGCTTACCGCACTTGAGCTCGTCTGCGCCATCGCTGCAATCGGGATCGCCATCGCAATGATAATTTTTCAGGATGCAACTGCCATCCGGACATTTGAATTCATGCTCCGAGCATTCTCTGTAAAAGAGACAAATACAAAAAAGACGGTGAGGGAGCACAACATCCATCCTTCCTATGGTGGACACAGGACGGTCGACGCGGCGACCACATCAGCTGACTTCGTTCTGACCTGCGTGCGAGCACAGTAAATATCCGATCGACATTTATCATTTCTCTGGTATTATATAAATTGAAACAAGAGTTGCCTGTTGGCAATATTAGATTGCGGTACGGCGGCAACCACGCGGAATTTAATTGCCTTCGACGCATTATAACCTTATATGCTGTTAGTTCAAACAGCTGGGGTGCATTCAATTATGCAATAGGTATGACCAATGATAACGTCTAATGAAAGAATGCAGCCGCGCTCAAAGGTCGAAAGTAAATTATTATTGTATGTTAAAGGATCCATGAAGAGAGATGAAGAGAAGCGTGAGAGGAGGCAGACGGTAAGGTAAGAGGTCGTGATATTTGAAGCCGTGACCTCCGACCTCCACTTTGATCTGCTTTGATATCCATGTACGCGTGCGCGTCCGGACGCATGATCGATATCATACGGGTTACAGGCAGAAGCCGCAGCAACAGCAGAAACGTGGAGCCACTAGAGTTGCTAAGCAACCCGCATCCACATTCTCCGTGGTGGAAGCACGCACTTCCGCCCAAAACCTTCTCCAAAAATCCGGTAAATTTCACGCTGTCAAAGTAGAATGCGAGATGTTGGTTCTTTAGGAGCGGAAGACTACACATACACTATAGTATTAGTTAAACAAGCATAAAGTCACTGTCGACGTTAACTGAATTTGGGCAGGTGTACCTTTCTCCGGAGATCCACTGTTAAGGAAAAGGAGAAAAAGAGAGGAGAGAGAGAAGACTCACTTCTTCTCACCGCAGTTCTCTTCGTCCGAGCGGTCCTTGCAGTCGTTTTCGCCGTCGCAAAGCCATGAGAGCTGAACGCAAAGTCCATTTCTGCATTCAAACTGATCCTCCGTGCAATTCACTCGTGTACCTGGAGCGGATTTTGAACGTTTCAGAGAATTACTAGACGACAATTCGGATAGAGATAAGAGTCGTAAGAAAATATCGAGTACTCTGGAATTTCAACGCACCACAACGAGACTCGTCCGAGTAATCTCCGCAATCATTGTCACCGTCGCAAAGCCATTCTCTGGAGATGCACTTTCCTGACTCCGGACAGAGAACGTCTCTGTCACCGTAACAGCTGCCATTGGAATTTCGCATTTCGAGTGTCTCCTCGCAGTTAAGTTCATCCTCGGTGGTGTCACAGTCGTACTGTAGGACAGCAGATAGATTAATAATAGGTTCATTATTTAGAGTATGAAAAGCCCTCAAGAAATTTTTGTACCTGACCGTCGCAACGCTTGTCAATGCTTATGCACGTGCAGGAACTGACGCAGAGGAATTGGTCGTGGTCGCATTCCCAGGCACAGGAGAGGAGGACTTCCTCCCTGGCATCAGTTTCATCTTCTAGTTCATGAATGAGAGTCTTTTGTTCGGGACCAAATTTGTCGTCGGGATCGCCCTCCGGCCCGATTCCTCGACCTCGATGAAGACCGTCCTGTCTGATGCGCTCCTGACCGCCAGTTCCAATGTGTCCTGGCGGTTTTAGGAAAAGTAAGGATCCGTCGACAAAGGAAAACGAGTATGAAGAGTCTCTCCAACGTTCAGTTCCTCTGTCTCTGAACCGTACCTCCGGAATCGTATCCCCCATAGAGACCACCCCTTCCTCGACCCCTGTCCAGTCCTCTACGTGTCCCAGGCGATTGACCTTGTCCATAGAGCCCACCATTTCCCAGAGGAATACGCATTCCGTTGACAGGAGCGCCGTTTCGATAAATGGCTACGTCGCTGGGGAGATCATAATCTGGCACAGGGATTCTGTGATTCACGTAAAATCCTGGAGGTAACTGGGAATTAGTCTTTGGGGCTACGTGAGTCCTACCACCAGGGCCACCATATCCATAGCCTCCATGACCTTCGTACGGATATCCTGAAATGATTATCGCATAAGTTCCCCATTTTCTACCGAACTTGTAGGTTCAAACAAAATATGTATCCTTCTCACCGCCATAGCTAGCGCTTTGATCGTCCGATTCTCCATGTTTTTCCTCCTGACGAACGTTGTTACGATTTTTCTCTCTATCTTTGCTCCTGCGAAGGGGAGTAGTTGTCGTTCCGAAAATTAGTGGACCGCTACCAGTCTGTCGAAGACTTCCGCTGCCATACATTTGCCTAGCCGCACCTTTATTCACTGGCAGCTGACTCGACGTCTCCGTGGAGATCGCAGATCCTATGAAAATGATAAAATTATAGCCTAAGAAAATGAAAGCTACCATCGGCTCGAAACACTTTAGTCGGCCGATTGCCTTAGTCCAGGCACAGAGTACTAAGAGGATTATAATCTACAAGCTACATTGCTCGTAGTGGCGGGGTCTCATTGGATGGGTGCTTTTTGGGAGAATCGGTAAACAGGAGGAGGTCGAACGGCACCGAGGCATGAATGACTCGAGGCGCATTGGGAACGTGAGGGGCTCTCATTCACTAGACCGACGCCTGCGCTTTTGCCGCACGATCGATATACGGTTGCCCACACCCTCTACGTCTCTCCCTCTCACCCCGTGACTCAGGATCCGAGAGCAGATCAGCTCAGGACGAGAGAAATGAGAAAAAGATCGGCAGCTCTCGTGGGCAGCTATTGTCCGAGGCTCGGATCCCTAACTCTTGATTCTCCCATTCCATACAGGACACCTTTTGTTCACGCGCAGCACAATGTCAGATTCGTTAAAGACTCTGCACGGAAACTGGGATCTGTATAGCAAAGCTCTTTAGTAGTATTATAGTAGGCTGGCTCATTCAGACATCCTATATATGTATATGTATTTTTACGATCGTTAAGGACTCCGCGGCAGACCTTGCACGTTGCAGTCGATTATAATAATAGCACTACCAGTTGCTTTGTCATGTATCTCCTATTATTACGAAGGTATTTAAAGCCTTAAAAGTTTAAAATGAAGCAAAATTACCAGCCCAGAGAGCAAAGCTGCACACGGTGCAGACAAAGCTGACTCCCAAGTCCTTGTGAACTTTCATCTTCTCAAACGTAGGAATCTATCTCGCTGTGATGTTGCACTCGTGGGGGGCTGCCACCGGATTTCCCCAATTTACACCAACACTTGCTGGGGAATGTTCTTCCTGGAAGTTAGCATCCCATGACACTATAACGTCTCACTGGACCCACTGAGAAAAGAAAAAGCATGAGACGTCAACGACTCTCCGTCTGGCCACGGTGCATTCCGCTGCCAACCGAGCTCCTTCGCTCTTCCACAATCACTCGGCCTTTATCCCGTTTTCATATTTCCAATCCTTTTGTCTTAACGTCCGACACAGTGTGCTGTTAATCGCGCAAACTACAGAATCTTCCCGGAGACTCGGAGGACCAGCCGTGACGCCTACTAGTATCCGATCAATGCACGCACTCTGACCAATCGATTGACTTTCGCTTCGTTCCTTCCTTCCTTCCTTCCTCGAGCGCTTTTAAGATGCACTGTCACTGTACGAAGTTCATCAAAGGGTCCTACCATTTTGTCGTTCATTGGCTCTACTCCAAATTATTTCTATCATTTCCTAAATAACATAAGAAAAGCACAGCATAGCTTTTACCTCAAGTCGACAACATTTCTTCTTTTACGCGAAGAACGAGTCAGTCCTTTGATAAGGAGACATCCTGCAGACGTAGCAGTACGTACAAGATCTTCACTTAGTTTTGAAAAAATATCGAATATTCCAAGAAGGCCATCGAGCGAAGTGTCACGATCTGAACTGTTTCACGAGAATGAGACGACTACATTTTCTCAACTTAAACGTCAAGTTTAAACTACTCGCAATTCTATTGACACTCGCTTTATTAATGCAAAGTCAGACAAAATGAGAGCCTACAACCAGTATGAGTTCTCCAGTTGGACTGAATTCGACTACGGGGTGTCGGCGACATCGAAACCGAGGCTGTTACGCAGGCGCCCCGATGCTGCTCTTCTACGCCGGAAATGGGAGAAAAGGGAAGAAAGAAGAAGAAAGGAGTAGAAAGGAGGAAATCAGTCGAAACAGATGTCACGCGTACGTATTTCGTGAATATCGAGACGCCCCCGGACAACCGACAACATTGATTTAATCATCAATTAATATTACCAACGAATAGCTAAGCACTCTGGTAGCTCTAAGAGTTCAGTTGAAATTTATGATAATTTTTACGTAAGTACATCGATCCCTTGTGCTAGTTATTTCTTCCTTTATCGGATGAATGTCGAATTTATTTTCCTCCTCTACGTCCGAATGACATTTCGAACGGATACATTACGATTTTCTCTGGCCTCCTGATCTGACAATTTTTATAGTTACTTTTTACTATAGCTATAACTTTACCATACTAGAGCAGTTAGTGCAATGAGCCTAATACACTATTTCGTTTCTCTCAAAAAATTCTTACAATCTCAAACAATTGTCAAATCAAGAGGCCGAAGAAATAGTAATCTAACCTTATTTCGCGTAGAGTTAAACCCTGTAGAACAGAGGTGGGTGCTCCAGGAATTAATAAAATAGGTAGTATTGCTAATGCTTCACGTAGCTCCGTCTTCTTTATCCTCTTAATATTCCATAAAACTTTTCGGAAGTCACTAATACTGACCACGTTTCCACCGGAGTCCAGTTGAAATAGGAAATATGTACGTGCGTTATACTATGTCCATTACATTAGCAAACAATCCGACGTACTTCGACGACACACTGCTTATTGCAGCAACGTTTGTTCATTAGCAATGTACAGAATGTGCAAAAGATGGCCTTGGCGATCATTGTTCCATTTAACCCTAACACTTTCTTACCGACTAATGATACATAAAACACTATTTCTTATATCGAGTTTAGTAGAATGGCCATCTTATGGGTTACGATATTACACCAGCATGGGTGTTACGAACACCATTGTCTGCACAAAACCATTCAAATTCTATAGATTCTATATTAATAAGCACGTCTAACCGTCGGGAAGTTAGCGTCGAAAGATAAAACTTATACGTATGTCCATAATGCCTAAAAAATTGCTTCTTAAATTCTCCTTATGTTTTCCTAACTGCCATCATGTTCCTTAAACAATGATTAAAAAATAATAATAAAAACATAAAAACATTTTATTTATTGCTCCTCAAAATAACTAAGCAGCCTTTCATATCATTTTCTTAATGAATTAATTGATCCCAATTTGCTCCATTTTGTTCCGCAATTTGTTTTTAATTTCATTAAAATGTCATTAAATAAGTAGTAAAATTTGATTTTCTCGTGGATATTAACAGTCGGAAATCAGAAAACCTGGCCAAGAATATTTAAAAGTACTGAAAATTGCCTACAATTGTGTACGCGGAGTGGGGGAAGCGACGAAGACAGCGCCCGGACTCCGATCGCTCATTCTTCCTCGAGCCGGTCTCCTATACTGGTCTCTTGGAAATAC